CTGCTGTAAATCCATCTGGTCCTGGGCTTTTTTTAGTCGGGAGGTTTTTGTCTTTAAGTCCATTTGTATGTTTTATTACATTTATTGACTTACATATACTGAACCATCCCTGCCTCTCTGGAATAAAGCTGTCTTGATCATGGTGGATGATTTTTTTTTTCCTTGAGTCACTGAGGCTTTTATTTTGCACAATAACCACTAGGAATCTTGGCTGTGGCCACGTTGGAGGTTACACTGGGGGTATGAGGGCTCCTGACACTAGGTGGGAAGTGAGGAGACAATGATTTGGACCAATCACATGATTACAGAGCTGGGGTTTCCAACAGGGCTCCAGGTAGTCAGGCGTGACTTTGGACCTTTGGGAAGCAATGGCAGGAGAGGGAGCTAACTACAGAGACCTGACAAACACCTGGCCGGCCTCACATAGCATCGATATCAGGGACATGGTCTAAGCAGCCAGTGTGACTGAGGGCTCCAGGGATGGCTGACCATCGTTTACTTGGCCAGGGGGTTTCTGAAGGACTTGCTGGCAAACTTGGCCTTGCTGCCCAGTTCCTCCTTGATTCTGAGGATCTGATTGTACTTGGCCAGATGCTCTGATCGGCAAGGTGAACCAGTCTTAATCTGCCCAGTACAGAGTCCCACCACCAGATCGGCAATGAAGGTATCTTCAGTCTCCCCAGAGTGATGGGACACCATGACACTCCAACCATTAGACTGTGCCAGCTTGCACACCTTCAGAGACTCGGTCACAGAGCCAATCTGGTTCATTTTGAGCAGGAGGCAGTTACAGGACTTGTCAGCCCCAGCCTTGGCAATTCGTTTTGGGTTGGTCACTGTGAGATCATCCCCAACAACCTGGATGCCTGCACTATCCGTGAACTTCTGCCAAGCTTCCCAGTCATCCTGGTCAAAGGGATCTTCAATGGACACCACTGGATAGTCTCGGATGAAGGACTTATACAGGTCATCCAGCTGGTCAGGAGAGATGTACCTGTTGGGGTCATCAGGAGATTTGAAGTCCAAGTCATATTTTCTGGCCCTGAAGAACTCAGAGGCACCTACATCCATGCCGATGACAACCTTGTCAGTGTAACAGCCTTCCCAATTGCGTTCTTCAGCAGCTCCAAGGCTTCTTTGTTCTCCAGGATGTTGGGAGCAAACCCACCTTCATCACCCACATTGGTGGCATCTTTTCCATATTTCTCCTTGATGACATTCTTCAGGTTGTGATAAACCTCTGCTTCAATGTGCATGGCTTCCCAGAAACTGGAAGCACCCACGGGGAGGATCGTGAACTCCTGCATGGCCAGCTTGCTGCCAGTGTGGGAGCCACCGTTGATTATGTTGAAAGCCGGGACTGGCAGGATGACTTTGGGGTTACCAGCCAGGTCGGCGATGTGTCGGTACAGGGGCATGCCCTGCTCTACAGCACCAGCTTTGCAGACAGCCAGGGATATTCCCAGGATGACATATGTGCCAAACTTAGATTTATTTTTCAGTCCCATCCATTTCAATCATCAGTTTGTCGATCTTCTCCTGTTCTATGACACTCAGTTTCTTGCTAACCAGAGCAGGTGCAATAGTTTTATTGATGTGCTCAACAGCCTTTGAGACACCCTTTCCCATGTAGCGTGTCTTATCATTGTCCTGGAGTTCCAGGGCCTCATAGATACCAGTTGAGGCACCACTGGGCACGGCAGCTCGGAAGAGACCTTTTGAGGTGTAGAGATCAACCTCCCCAGTGGGGTTTTCTCAAGAGTCAAAGATCTCTCTGGCATGGATCTTGAGAATAGACATGGTGAATTTATGGCCACTGGGTTGCTGTGCAAGAACAGCGGTGCTGTGGACACCCAGACGTGCAGTCAGAGCAGAGTGGCTGGCGCTCCGGACTCCGAAGCTGCCGGTGGATAATTTTTTGATGTGTGTCTATATGTGGTTTTTGAGTATTTTGTTGAGTATCTTTGTACCTATGTTCAGTAAGGATATGGTCCTATAGTTTTCCCTTTTTTTCATTGTGTCTTTTACCTGGTTTTGGTATTAGAGTGATACTGGTTTCATACAAAGAGTATGGGAGTTCTCTCTCTATTTCTATCTTTTTGAAGGCTTTAAGCAGTATTGGTTGTAGATCTTTGACTGCTTGGTAGAATTCTGCTGTGATGCCAGATGGGTCTGGGCTTTCTTCAGTCAGGTTTTGTATCACTGTTTCAATTTCTTTGTTTGTTATGTATTTGTTTAAGCTATTATAATGGTGGTGGTGTTCATGACTTTAGAAATTCAGTCCTTTTAGATTTTCACATTGGAGTATAGATTTTTAAAGTATTCCCTTTACAGTGCTAAATATTTTGGTATCTGTTGTGATATTCCCCCTTTTGTCTCTGATTTTGTTAATTTGTATTTTCTCTTTCTTTCTTTTGGTCAACTGGGCTAAGGGTCAGTCTATCTTGTTTAACTTTTCAAAGAACCAACTCTTATATTCATTGACTTTTTTTTTGGTATTTTTTTCTTTCTTTCTATTTCATTGATTTCTGGTCAGATTTTTGTTATTTCTTCTTCTCTACTAGGTTTGGGATTAATTTGTTCTTGCCTTTCCAGAGTCTTGAGTTGTAACGTAAAGTCATTTACATGCGCTCTTTCTGATTTTTTAATGTAGGTGCCAAGAGCAATAAACGCCCCTCTTAGGACTGTTTTTAAAGTGTCCCAGAGGTTTTGTTATGTTATATTCTCATTTTCATTTAGTTTTAAGAATATTTTTATTTCTTTTTTTAATTTCTTCTTTGACCCATTCATCATTCAGTAGTTGTTGTTTAATTTCTATGATGTCATGTAGTTACTAGAGCTTCTTTTGCTGTTGATTATAAGCTTTACTGCACAGTGATCTAACAGAATGCATGGAGTTATTTCAAATTTTTTTGTATTTGTTAAGGTTTGTTTTGTGTCCCAGAATGTGTTCAATTTTAGAAAAACTTGCATGGGCTGCCGAATAGGAAGTGTATTCTTTGGTGCTTGGGTGGAATATTCTGTAGATGTCTGTTAGGTCCATTTAGTGTAAGATGTCATTTAATTCAAATGTATCCCTGTTTATTCTTTGTTCAGTTGACCTGTCTACTGAAGATAGTGGGGTATTGATGTCCTCTACTATTACTGAGTTGGTGTTAATCTGTGTCTAATAGTCCAGGAGTACTGTTTTTATGAAACTGGTTGCACCAGAGTTTGATACACATATGTTCATGATTGTAATATCTTCTTGATTGATTATCCCTTTAATTAGAATGAAGTGACCCCTTTAGTTCTTCTGATTAGTTTTAATTGAAATCTATTTTTGTTAGATATTAGAATTACAATGCTTGCTTGCCTCTTAGAGCCATTTGCTTGGAATATTTTTTCCATACTTTGACACAAAAGTTGTGTCTATCCTAGAAGGTGATGAGTGAGATGAGTTTCCTGAAGACAACAAAAAAATGGGTTTTCTTTCTTGAGTCATTCTGCTAGTCTGTGTCTTTTGACAGGGAGTTGAGGTCATTGGTGTTTAGTGTTATTATTGAAAGATGTGTATTGGATACTGTCATTTTAACTTCTTTGTGTTTGTAGCTCTACCTTGTGTTTCTGTTATTATACCTTTCTCTGTTTTCTCTCTGTAGTCTCTTGGGTTTACTCATTCCTATCTTCTGTCCTTTGTATTGCTTTGAGTATTCTCTTTAGGGCTGGTTTATTGGACATGAATTCGTTCAACCTATTCGTGTTATGGGAAATTTTCCTTTTTACTTCACCTAGTTAGTTTTGCTGGATAAATTATTTAAGTTTGGCATCCATGTTCATTTAGAACTGGGAATACTTTGGTTCAGGCTCTTTTGACTTTCATAGTTTGCAGTGAAAAGTCAGCTGTAATTCTGGTGGGTTTTCCTTTATGTGTAACATTCTTTATCTCTAGCAGCTTTCAGCACCCGCTCTTTATTCTGTACATTTAATGTTTTTACTGTGATATGCCATGGAGAGTTTCTGCTCTGGTCATGTCTAATTGATATTCTATGTGCTTCTTGAATCTGTATAGGTAAGTCTTTCTTTTCTCAATTTAGGGACTTTTTTTCCTATAATCCTGTTGAAGATCTGGTCAATGGCATTTGGCCTGAGATTCTTCTCCTTCCTGTATGCTTATGATGAGTAGATTTTCATGTTGTCCCACATTTCCTGAGTATTCCATTCCTGTGTTTTTTAAAATTTTACATAGTCTTCGCTTAAGGAGTCCAGATCTTCACCTTTATCATCCAGTCTTGATACTCTGTTTTCCATTTCATTAATTCTACTTGTGAGGCTTTCTCCTGTTGTTTCCAATTGACTTACTGATGTTTCAATTCTGTGTTCATTTTGGTTTGGGTTTTATTCAATATTTTTATCTCTTTTGTGAATTCACTTTTCAGGTCCTAAATTGTTTTTGATATTTCATTAAGATATTTCATATAATACAAATTATATTCATAATTTGCATTCTCTTGAACTTGCATCACAAGTTTATGCCTTTTCTCTTTGAGTTCTTTGAGTTGTCTGTGTTTTCTTTAAGTTCTTTGATCGTATTAATGATTGTTCTTTTAAATTCTGCCTCCTGGGGTTCCTCAGGGTGGTTCTCATTATAGTACACTTCTGTAGGACTAGTGGGTTTTGTTGGGGACATAGTTGCTTGATTTTTCAGATTATTTAAGTTTTTACGCTGCCAGTTGGGCATATGGATATTCTTTGTTGGTTGTGTGTCTGGTAGGAACTTCTATTCTACATTCGTTTGATTGAATTTTGTATTGTTTATGCAGCTCGGTTGCTTTTTCAGAGTCCTAGGTTGGCGGGTCTGTCAGACAGATCAGGAGAGAGGGGAAGATGGAGATGGGGGCCACCTGAGGAGGGACTTAGCAATCTATGCTAGGGAGTTTATCTAGTCTGGGCTACAATGCTAGTCCAGAGATCTGAGGCAGAGGAATTGGAACAGGCCTGGGTCCATGGCTAGCTGGGGACAGGGTGGGCGGTGTAGATTGTAGGTGTTGAGGCTGCAGAGGAATGGAATCACGACTCAACTTTTTAAAGATTTATTTTTAGTTTATGTATACGAGTGTTTGTGTGCAAGTATGTACATGTGCCATACGTGTGTCATGCTTAACATTTTATACCTGTGAGATATACACATTCTTCCACCAATCCTCTATTTTATATTGAAAAGAGAAGATATATTCAAGAGAAGAGTATCATAAAAGAACGTGATTATTTCCTTTTGTGTTGTGAAAAGCACATGCTGGAATATGACTGAATATTTGTGGAGAATGACTGAAGCAATAAGAACATTAGGAGTGATAGCTTTAGGACTAGAAAGAGCTCTTATATGTGGACCAATTTCTGCTATGTTGTTTGAATTTTTATTTTATAAAGACTGTAATTTTTATTTATAAAAATCAACCTTGGGTTTAAAAAATAATGATTTGATTTTGATGTACTTTTATCTTTGAAATCATTCATGCTTTCTTGTTTAGCTCAGCCAGGCTTCCCTCTCCAGATTCCCCTGAGCCTTCTTGGTGGAGAGGGTGGTACAGGGTGCATATACCTAGTAAAGAGGACCATGAGACTACATTCTTTCTCTATCCATTCTCTAGCTTTGGCTTACAAATGGGGAGCATCCAGAAGGCTACCATAGAATAAGAGGTGGGACAACATTTGTTGGCACTGTGACTAAGAAATTCCTAGAGGAAAGGGAAACCTTTAACCTATGCATAAATTACCTAGAAGCAAAAATCATATTGGCAACAGACCTTCTCTTGAATATAGGTTCAGCAATGAGAGGCTAATTGGACCTAAATTGAGCTGAAGTTTAACTTCATCTTATCTATGAAAAATAGATTGCCAAGCCCAATACTACTGTTGCGAAGATACCCAAAGGCTTGTTTAATCTGCTCAGTAGAGCTTTATTAAAGATGTAGTGACCTAATTGTTGGTATTCAAACATGTGAGTAATTATAAATCAGACTATCTGTTAATTAGACCTGGTTCAGAGTTATGCATGCCCATGGGATAAAGTGTTAAGAAGAGTTTTTAACTAAGAGGGGAAATATGCTTATGAGATACTCTTTAAAACTCCATGGCATTCTCAAAACTGCTCATAGATGCACAGACAGATAATGAGATGGACTTCTGCTAGTTCATCTTCATGTAAAAATCATCAGTTGGACACCAATGTATGCAGGAAAAAGGTAAAGGTATTGCAGACATTAACACCTATTCTTTCTTAAGGAACAAAATACAGCAATAGCTCCTAATAAATTTCTAATAAGTTCTATATATTCTACTTCTAATATTTTCTAATGAAAGATAATAATAATTTTGTAAAATGTTATCTCTAATCTCAGTCTCAGCTCACATCTTGGCCAAGATTCATTTATGTATTTCTTCATCAGAGGCAATTCCTCTTTGGATATTAATTAGTTTCCTTCCTGGAGGCAGATGCATAAGCTAAGGACCCACTGGGGACAGGACATTAAGATAGGCACAGGACTTGACATTAAAAGAATGCATTATAAGAGAAGGCAGGAAATTAAAAATAAAAATGTTAATATAATTACCTATATTTCTATAATTTTATAGTGTGCAAATAATTAAAATTTTGTTCGTTTAATTTGAAAATGTTTTTACTATAGTAAATAACATGGAAACTAAAACATGTAATTAAGAATAATTTCACTCAGGGCTGGGGAGATGGGTTAGTGGATAAGAATGCTTGCTGGTCAAAGTATGTGGTCCTGAATTTGACTTTCCACCACCCATGTAAT